AAGGTGCTCGGGGTGTTGTATCTGCCTGGAGCCCACCATTCGCGTCAGACCAAGATGCTCTGAAATTTGTCGAAAGGCGGTTCAAGCTGCCAGATGGACCCATCGCTACTATATGGGAGGAGACGGGAGAAAGCATAGCGAGGCATTTATGGTATGCATATCCAATTCTGATACAATCTATCTGAGGTACTGATCATATATCAGGGACGCTGGTATCACACTCTCATGTCAAATGACAGCTCTGGATAATCCAAAATCCAGCCTAGCAGAAGCTTTACTACCATATGGTATTGCATCCGAACCTTATCTGAATGTCCTCGAACTTGGCACTGGCTGCGGAATGGTCGGCATTGCAATCGCTCAAACTGTCTCCAACTCCAAAGTTCTCTTGACCGACCTTCCTGAGGCTAGAGAAATCGTTGAGCGTAACATCGAGTCGGCGGTCAAAGCACCAGGTGCATCACTCGCGTTCATGGAACTGGACTGGGATGCAGAGTTACCTGGCGAAGTACAGTCTAGCTCAGAACCTCTCGATCTTATTCTCGCTGCTGATTGCACCTACAACCCAGACAGCAGGTATGCCTCTTCTCACCCACTTCACATGCCTGGATTACTGCTGACATGCAACTACAGCCCCGCACTAGTCAAAACGCTTGCACGACTCTCCAGAGCAAACCCTAAAGTCAGGATTGCCATCGCAATGAAAATGCGCCACTCTAGCGAAGAAGTATTCTTCAAACTAATGTCCGATGCAGGATTCCTAGAGACAGACAAGATGGAGTTTCCATTGCCAGGGGATGTTCAAGTTGGCGAGGAGACTGTGTACTTGCACGTCTACTATAGGGCATTCTTTGCTCCTACCTAGCCAGGAGGTCATCTGCCTTGGGTATCGCTAGGTTCTGTTCCCAATTTGATGAGCAACTCACTCATTCATTTACCATCACTTGTCACATATAGCAAAAGAGGTGCATACAAGCTATTATACTCAGGACGTTCTGTACGCTTACAAGGCTGCTGCAAGGTAGCTAGCCTGCCCGTATCGTACAACACCAACCCCAGAACAAGGCACGCCAAGTCTGTGGAAGCCAGAAAAAATCTACCGTTCTCCAGCGTCTACAGCAATCAGGTAAAAACTAAGTATTAAACGAATCAACATGCATCCTCATCCCACTTCTACAAGACAACCCTCCACCACATTGCCCATCACACACCCTCAGCCTCGCCCATCCCAAACCCAACCCACATTCCTCCCGCCCCCACACCCTTTCCCATCTTACCCTCCACCCCCCCCTCCCAGGCAATTCCCACTCCCCGCAAGCTGACCACCCCAAACCTACCCTAAGTAGCAAGTCCGGCGTGGGGTCCGTCGAACCCAGCACTAACAGCCACTAACGCTCATGCTGGTAAGCACTTCGAGCGCTAGCGCTTTCCGCAAGGACTACGCCGCTACGCCGCAGTAAACTAGTTACTTCCGCTAGCCAGATGGATGCAGATGGATGGAACGAGCGGCTTTCCCGAAGGTGCTGATTGAGGCGTGCTGATTGTGGCGTGATGGTACAGTACTTCGATTACTAGCTGCTGTATCGTGCGCGGCTTTGGTGTCGGATTGCTACATACACACATTACGGATTAGTTGGTAGACGCGTGAGGTTAATGCTGTTGGGGTCAAAGGTTCACAACCCATTTTTGTATGATTATTGTAACGATGTCCATCTTGTATATACAGTCTTGTCATGCTATGTACAATTGATTATCAAGTCCTGCAACAATTATAGTACGAGGTTGCGCTGGTGACCCGTTCAAGCATGTGTTGATTCCTCCTCTTCGTTACTACATACAGGGTTCAGGGCGATATTTTGTATGTTAGGCGACGCGATTTGGTGATGAAGGAGTTGATGGCTTCGGTGAGGGTGTTGGAGGGTCTTGTGCTTGCCTGAGTAGGTCTGTCAGCGTCGTTGTATCGGGTCTGGGGGTAAAGGGTGCTTACGTCTGGTTCTCCGTCTGGCGTAGCGGCGCGGTTCACAATGGCTTTTTCGGGCTCGGTTAGGAAGTTTTTGATTGAGCTGTTGGCGGATACGCGGGTCGTGTTTCCGTAGCCATCGTATTCTTCGATGTCTTTGACGGGGCTTCCAGCGGCTTGTTGTCGGGCTGCTTGTGCGCGCCTTCTGTTCGATCGCATAATCAAGGTTACACCGATGGCGAGGAGGATCGTGACGAAGCCTGTGTTCATGTTAGATTCGTCGTGCAAGACTCTGGTGCGGTACTCACCCAGCACTCCAAAAAGGATGAACAGTGTCCTTGCAAGGGGTGTCAAGCCGTGCTGCGGCTCGACACTAACGGCGGTGGCCAGACTGGAAGGTATGGCTGATCCGGAAGCTAGGGACAATGTCCGAAGCCCTGAGGATACGGACTGTCGTGTGGTGACAGCTTGTGGCGCCATGATAGTTTGAGTGGATGGCTGTATGTCTTCTTTGGCTTCTGCTGTTCGCGTGACGGTGACAAAGGTAAGAACTGGAGGTAGCGATGAAGGCTTTGTCGTTGTCGAGGACGCTGTCGGGGATGAAGTCGAGATGACCAATGTTGGCGGCTGGGAGAAAGAACTCGCAGAGGATTCAGTGGCTATGCTCACTGTCGAAGAAGACGATATAGTTGACATAGCCGTTGAGCGGGAGTCGCTCAGAATCATGAACGACACTGCAGAAACATCCATTGTAGGCTTCGGTTGATTCTTTCCAGGCATGGGCTTTCCGACTGTCATCGCCGAAGTTGTAGACGGTAGAGTCGAACTCTCAGGGGTTGCGAGAGGTGCCACTACAGGTGTAGTCAACAGTACAGGAGTTTCTAAAGAGATGGAAGTCAACACTCCGTGCACGTCCCCAAGGGGTCTTCTTCATCAGGAGCTTACCTTGGTTCTTTCCAGGTACTGTTCCCAATGAAGGGTCGTCTTGGTTGACACCGGGAAGGGCTGCAATTTCATCCTGTGCGAAAGAGTCCGCTAGGAGGCCTGGGACTGCAGTTGAAGCAGGTTGAATGGTCATGGCCTCGTTCATCGCGACAGCATCTGCTTGCACAGTAAGGGTTGGCCGGATGGTAGATGCTACAAAGTTAAGAGAGAAGGTCGAGGTGGCATTCATCGATAACGAAGGTGCGGTGAAAGCTTGAAGTGTTGATCCCTGGCCATCGGTAGGCGTTGGTACGGCCAGTGTTGAGAGCTGTTCGGACTGCGATGGGAGTACACCCTGTGTACCCATGAGAGAGTCCAGTGACCGTGACGATGGCATTGGTGGTGCACCTTCCGGAGTTTCGTTCTTGCTCGTATCCGATTGTTGGGATCTCGTCCCGCCTGTCCCCAAGTCCATGTCCATGATCTCCTCATTCTTGCCCTCGACTACGATGGGCGTAGCTGCCATCCTTGGATTATTACGGCGTACCAGCACCGGTGGGGTATCATATGGTCTGCTCGGTGCAGCCATTGCGAGGTAAGATTCCCATGGAGGCGAGGAAGATTCACAGCACGCGAGGATATTGAAATGGCAGTAACGCGGGTGCCATACCCCAGCCGGCTATTAGTGGTTCCATACAAAAAGTACCAGATGCCAAAAACGTGCTGAAGCGGGTGAACGTTTCGGTGTGGGCTGCTACCATGAGATGCGGTTGGTCAAGGGAACGCCCACCGCGACTTTTCCGTACCAAACATGACCAGCACGATCCCTGTACGAGGGAGATCTGTCGCCTATTCGAGACCATGTGGTGCACCAGCTACGGTTTTCGGGGTATTGTATCCGCTTCATGGGGTTCCTCCAAACGTGCACTTGTTTCGTAGAGGACGCCAAAGTTTGTGTCGACACTCGAAACGTAGCGCATGCGGCGGGAACTTCGAGACCGGTCTGAACAATCGATGCCACCGCGATGGCCGCGTGGTACGTATCTAGTTGATGGAGGCCGTCCGGTTGATGATACAAGAAAAGGAACGGGAGCCTTGCTGTCAGCTCATTTAGGTCAGATCTACAGATAACTTGTACTCTGGATAAAACAGCAGCGCCTTGTTGATTCTTGCCATGGAGAGTGTTCTAAAATATTCGTCTTTTGCTCGCGACCAGAAACAGTAATGATGGTCTTGCTCATTATGGAATTGTCGCGACATTTTCGACGGTGCCAATGTGAGGCATGCTCAGCTCCGACTCGGCAGACTCATGCAACGAGCGTGGCTGTGCCTGGCTTCGGCACTCGTATCCGGCCTGACACAACGAGGTGTAATTCAGCGGTATTGTAGCATCCGGGATGGGGTTGTAGAGCAAGAGGACCACTGGGTGTTTAGCTCGCGGGTGCATCGGAACCAGCCTTTCGAGGCCTCGGGCGCGGCGAAGTGGATCAATCCAGCAGCCGTCCGAGTCGATGATGCTTGCCGTTCGCCACCTCAGTCTAGGTCGGTATTCTCTTGTCGCATACTTATTGTTCGTATTCTGGCATTTCTGCAACATGATAATCGCGTGTTCATAGCCGCTGTCGTCGTTCTTTTCGCACGTGTACCCCCCGAATGGCCGCACGCGACACGCCCGAGCGCGCGGTGCCGGAAACCATGGACCTCGAGCATGGGACCAAACGCGACCCTTCCCGCGACCGCGTCGCACCGAATGGTCAGAACTTAGAAGTCACCCCGCCATGGAGGAAAAGGTTCAGCGCGCGCACGCCGGCGCCCATCGCTCGCTGGAGCCGCAAGGTTGTCGACTGGGTCAAAGGGCCGAAGCCTCCGAGCAGATACACGATCACGCCTTTTCTTGAGCGCTGGCAGACACTGCCTGTGCGTTTGCTCGCGCGGCTGCCAGAATGGATGCGCATATGTGTGTATGCGGCGGCATGCATTGTGTGGATCGTTGTCTTCGCGGTAGTCATCAGTGACGGCGGGCTTCCGTCTGACATTGGAGGGCTCGGGGCGCCTGTCAAGCTGTCGTGTATCAACAACCTGTGGTAGGGCCTCTCCTCTTGTGCTCGAAGCTGTGATGACTGTACTGATCGTCGCCAGGCCTTCTACAGAGAGCTGCGGACCCGATGGCCGCAACTGCCTCCCCTTCTCCAACGCCTCGTTCGCCTTCGTCTGCCCCGCTGGTTGCTCGAGCGCACAAGTCCTGAACCCTCGCGCAATCGGTCCGCAGGTTATAAACTATCGATCCCTGGTGGTTGGCGGCACGCCGGACTCCCAGGGCGATGGGCTCGTATATCGCGGGGACTCGTTCATATGCTCGGCGGCCATCCACGCTGGGGTAATCAGCGATGGCAGCGGCGGTTGCGGTGTTCTCTCCTTGGTAGGAGAGCGCGACAGCTTCGGCGCTGTGGCACGACATGGCATCAGCAGCATTGGCTTCGACTCGCACTTTCCAATGTCTTTTACCTTTGGCGAGGCTTCGGCCAAATGCGAAGACCCGCGCTGGAATCTGCTGATCCTCTCGACAATCTTCACTGCTCTATTCGGCATCTTCACCACGAGCCCTGCGACGTTCTTTGCGCCCGTCTTTACGATTCTGTTCTTCCAGACGGGCATGGCATCAGATCCGCCCTCGTACTCAAACTACGCCTCCTTGGCCTCTACAACACTTGGTCGCTTCTTGCCTGCGGCATTGGCTGCTGCCCTCTTCTATCAGTTCAGTGTTCGCAAGTCTCTGCGTAATTGCAGGGCGCAAATCGAAAAGACCATACTCTGGATAGGCGGTGCCTGGGTTGGCGCACTGGGTAAATATACATTTGAACGTATACCCATACAGCGCCTTACAGGAAACGACATCCGACAACAGCCTGGTGCTATCACAGCATTAGTAATCATCGTGCTGATTTTGTTTGCCGTCGTTTTGTACCAAGCATGGTGTTTCCGTAAGGAAGGGCGACTGCCACGCTATCTTGCACTATACGCTACATTGGGCCTTGGGCTGGGTATCCTTGCAGCTATGCCGAAGCTTACACTTAGGATACACCACTACATAATCGGCCTCGTACTCCTTCCAGGTACTGCGCTGCAGACACGCGTGAGCTTGCTGTGTCAAGGCCTGCTCGTTGGACTCTTCGTCAACGGTATTGCACGATGGGATTTCGACTCTATACTACAGACGGCCGCAGCGCTGAGAGGGGATGGCCAGCTCGGATCTGGCATCCCAGGTATTCTGGAGCTTGTCGTGAATGATTCGAGCATTACATTCGCATGGGAGACTCTACTCAGCGGATATGAAGGCGTCAGCGTGGTGGTCAACGATGTGGAAAGGTATCGGGGCATTGGTGGAAGCGACACAGGAAACTTCACCTGGAGTCATTCGGATGATGCGAAAGATGAGTACTTCAGGTTTGCGTTCATCAATTATAAACTGTTTGGCAACGTAGAATATAGCGACTTTACGAGAGCGGGTACGTGGTTCGCGAATGGGACCTGGTCTGGAATCCCGCCAGGCCGTACATGATAGAACCCGAATGAAATCATCCTCGGGAGGTAGAGACCTGTTTAATCCTTTCATTGCAAACCTCGTTCCTGCAGATGTGACCAATGAGCCACTAGCGCGTTTACGTCACCGTTCAATACATGGAAACCTGGGCTTCAGGACAGGCGATCGACAGGTGGAAGCGGTGATCCAACGGTTATACAGACACGTCTTGGCCAACCGCGGCAGCCATCATGCCCTCTCCTGCGACAAATCAGGTCTGGCTCAGATTGTTCCTTCTGCTTTGGGTGCGGGGGTAGTCCGAACACGGCAGTGGACATGACGTCACACCAACAGAGCCGAGTTGCTCCAGGGCTTGAATGACCGCGCCTGCACTAGGTCATTTTCCACAAACACGATGCATCCTCTCCCTCGGAATCTCTACTCCCTTTGACCTTACCCCTCTACCTTCCGGAGCCTCAAAGGCATGGATTCACCCCCGAGACGTGAAGCGCCGGCTGCTTCCAAGCGAAAACCTGTCCCCTCGCCGACCGCACCTGGGCCTTCGCTTGAGCCGGAACGCAAACGCGAGCTTACCAGTAGACTAATACCGAATGCCTTTCTCACTGCCACTCTCTTGGCAGCCTTTACTCTCTCCTGGCCGTTACGATGGGTTATCTCTGGAGCGCCCATACTTGTCTACGCCATCCTCCTAGGCGAGGCTTATGGCCATCGTATCTTACCCTTTGTTCCCGTCTGGACCATATTTGCAACTGTCAACTTCATCTACGCAGTATGCGCGACATCATGGCTTCTGTACTGGGTATTCTGGTCCCTCTGCTGGCCTGTACTCTTCATCACCTGTCTCTTCCAATTCGAAGCACCTGCTGCACTGGCGCGCCGCACGCTGCGAAAGACTTTCCTACGAGACCTACACTTTATCAACGATCAGATAGCCTTCTTCGACCTGCCTGCTCTTGAAATTGACACCGAAGTCAAGGGACTTTTCGTCGTCCGGGGAGTCACGCTCTCACTCTCCACAATGACACTTGTTGCTCATGGAGTTGAAGCCGGGATAAAGCTCGCTGACGACATTGAACTCGGCATCCAAGTCGACAAAGTCGTCGTACCCCTCTTCCGCGAGATAACTGTCGACGATGTGTATGCGAATGTGAAGGGTGGGGATTGGGAAGTCACCTTTGGAGACGTACAGTACGGCGTTCCAGAACCAGATGACGATGAATCTGTAGTCGTCACCAACACTGCCATCCTCAGAGCGGCAACGATGAAAGGCAACGCCAACGGCCGCCCGGCTGATATGGTCCGAAACCTTACGGCCGGGAAGATACCGACCGAGGCTGAAGACACCAAATCCGCATTCTCATCTGTCAAGAAGATCTCACCAGATGAGGAGCGCGCCCACACAAAGTACAAAGAGCTGGTACGCTATATCAACGACACAAGCGCCATTACAAAAGCAAAGGAGGGGCTGGTAGAGGCCTCGAAGGCACGAGCGGAAGCTAGCTTGACCGACGACGAAAAGGACACAAAGAACACGAAGAAGTCAAAAGAAGAACCGGGAGTGCGCTTGGATATTGAAAACCTCGATGATTTCCGGGCAGCGATTTGTACCCAGATCCACGGGCAACCCTCGATACCTCACCCACCGACCAAATCGATCAGAGTCTCCACTCTTCGCAAAACATCGTACCCAAATGTAAAGAAATTCTTACATCGGCTACCCTTCCTCTATCGCTTGATGCTCAGCCCCATCTGCTACTTCCATCCTGTCAAGTTCAAGTCCGTCACGGCAGCTGGCTCAGGGAAATGGTTCACTGTCTTGATGCAAAAATACTTCTTCAAGCATTACTCAGCCCAAGATGCCGAGATTCGTAGATTGGAAGCGCGGATATCAGCCTGGTGCGCAGATGCCAATTTCGCTGTGGAATTGGGCCCGATTGCTAGCGAAGCCCACTTCCCCATCAACACCAATTACAACATCACGACCCACTTCAAGATCTCCGATGTCATGGCTTACAGGATTCTTCCGGATGCCGTCGAACTTAAGCAAGTTGTACGATTAGGAGGTGCGGATGCTGTTCTCACGATTCCCACATTCCTGTTTCCCCACCATGAGCACATCTTCCCGGAGAAGAAGAGCGACTTCGACCTGCTTGAGATGGAATCTGCCATAAAAGAAGCCGATCCTACCCCGAAGCAGGTTCGGGATCTCAAAGAGCTCGAAAAGCTAAAGAGAGACGAGGCTTCTATGCATGTCAACGCACATGCCCATCTCCCGGCACAGTTCCACCAAGACCTTCTTAACTTTGTCGCCGCAATTGTCAAAGCCACCAAGGTCATCGAGTCGGATAAGGACTTCGAGGAGGCCAAGGTCCTTCGCGAGCTGAGGCGTGTCACTACATCTGATAGCGAAGCTAGTAGTCTTGCATCAGTCAACACCAACAGCAGCGAGGTTTCAGGGACCACACTGAATGCCAATGACGACAATGGCTTCAAGGCATTCCTAAAGAAGGTGGACTCTGGCTTCAAGGATGCATCGAACAAGACCATGGTGGGCATGCGCAAAGCTGGCCAGAACACTGTACACGCCATGGCCAACGACCGTTGGATCGCTCGGCTTGTCGGCAAAGTGACTAGGAAGCTGGAGAAGGCGCAGGGCGAGCTGGGGTACAGTGGAGAGGTTCCTATCGCACTGGCTAAGTACCGCGAGCGACATGAGTTCGAGCAAAAGCTTTTGCCTTGAGCTAGAGAGATTTGGTGTTGGGGAGACTGTTGATGAGTTGCATGATACCCCTTTGAACTCCACGTGTTTTAGTAGTTTACTTCAGTACTGGATTACGAATTAATGTCTGCCTAAGATTTGAGGACCGTGACTAATAGTGGTATGATTCTTTCAGAGTATTTTATCGTTGTAGCTAGACTAAGTGAGAGCCCTCGGGATTGTTTGCACTATGAGCGAGGAAGCACATGCTCATACTTTCGACCATTTCAACAAGACTGCCGCCAACACTACCGGCAGTACACTGACCAGCTCTCCCAAACCAGCAAACTCCGGCGGTATCCTCGCATGCACGAACGCGCCCGCGCCCAACAGAACAGCGAAAGTATTGTAAACGAAGCTCCATCCAAAGTTGAATGCAACCCTGTGTATGGCCTTCCTACTCACATTGATGATAGTCAGCACACCCGAAAGGCTAGGGCGAACAAGGACGACATCAGCAGCGGATTGCGCGATATCAGTACCGCTTGAGATATGGACGCCGATCGTAGCTTGAGCAAGAGCAACAGCGTCATTCGTCCCGTCGCCTACGAACATGACAATCGGCTTCCGCGATTTACCACTTGATGGTGCTGTAGAAGGTGCTGCGAGCAGATCCTTGATGTACGTCTGCTTGTCCGCCGGCGAGCAACGAGAGCGGACAGTTTTCTCTAAGACGTTGAGCTGCACGGCAATGGCTTTGACAGCGCCGTCGTCATCGCCAGATAGAATGTGGACATTGATATCGCTGCGTCGGAGATTGTCAATAGTAGAGGCTGCATCAGGTCGTAGCGTGTCTTGCAGACCGAAGATGGCTATTAGTGTGCCATCGATGGAGAAGCAAACCGTGGTGAGGCCTGCGGATAGCATGGAACGGACGCGCGGATCGTCGGACAGCTCGAGCCATCTCGAATTGCCGGCGCGCAGCTTCTGCCCATCAACCGTCCCTTCGACACCTTTACCAGTCACGACTCTAGCATCCGGTACCGCTAAAGCAGACACTCCCTGCGACGCGAGATGTGTGGCGATGGCTGCCGACACGGGATGTTTAATGTTCTGCAGCAGACCCAGCAAGAGAGCCTTCGCTTCCCCGCCCACCTCCGCATACTCCTCCCGCACCACTGTCAGCTTCCCTGCCGTCAAAGTACCAGTCTTGTCGAACACTACATCCGTGGTTTTGTATGCGACTTCGATGCTGCCCGCTGTCTTGAAGACTACACCGCGTTTCGCCGCGACGCCGGATGCGACGACGATGACCATGGGGACTGCGAGGCCGATGGCGCAGGGGCATGAGACGATCAAGACTGTGATGGCATATGTGATGGCTTCGATGGTCGCTTCGGAGCCTGATTGATGCCGTACGGCAACGCCGATGGCGACCCAGATGACGAACGTGATGATTGTCAGGGCGACTACGACGGGAACGAAGTAGCTGGCCACAGTATCGGCAATCTCTTGGATCTTGGGCTTGGAAAGCTTTGCTTCGTCAACCATGCCTGCGATAGTCGTGATGGTGTTGTCGCCAGGTAATCGGGTGAGGCGCACGGTGAGCGTTCCGCTTCCGTTGATTGTACCAGCGATGACAGGGGACCTGGCGTGCTTCTCTACGGGTTGGGCTTCGCCTGTCAACATTGACTCGTCGATCTCTGAAGAGCCGGAGATGACGGTACCGTCCGTGGGGATGCGTGAGTCTGGTGCAACCTTGAAAGTGTCTCCGTATTGCAGCAGCCTGGCGTCGATCTCTCGCTCTTCTGCGTCCTCGACTAGTAAGGCAGTAGGAGTCTGCAGGGAACGGATGCTGATGGACTCTGCCGCCTTTTGGCGCGCCAGCGATGCCACCCAACGACCGACCATGATGAGGGTGACCAGCAGTGTACTCGTCTCGAAGAACTCGCCCGTCGATAGAGGTTTTCCACTGACCAAGAAGCCAAAGGAAACAACCGAAAAGATGTACGCGGCGCTTGTACTCAGGACGATGAGCAGATCCATCTCAATCACCTTTGAGAACACTAGAGCCTTGAGAGCTTTCGGATAGAAAGGTCCGGCGATGACAACCTGAACGATAGTTGCAAGTGCAAGCGACGCAGAGCCATACGCGATCTCGCGCTCGGGAAGAGGAGCCCATGCCATAACCAACACGGGAATGGTCAAGATGGCAGAAAGCAATGTCAACAAGCCCATGTTTCGGACGTGTCTGCTACCAGCTTCCAGAGAGGAATCAGGACACGGTGGTGCAAGTTGCAGCGACTGGCTCCACTCGTCG